GTATTTCCCGAAAAGTACAATTTGGGGCTATTCAAGGCTAGAGTGAAGCATTTTTTAGGCAAACGCGTCCCATCGTCGGTCACATCGTCGCTTAACATCAGGTGAGATTGTGGCCAAGCGTGTGTCTATTATATATATATATAAAAAAATAAAAAATAATAATTAAATTTATTACTGTCCGCTGCTCTAAACTTTTCAATCTATCTACTAACAATTAACTAAGTAAACAGGTAAAAGTAAAACTCATACAACCAACTGCCAAGTATTTATAATTGCGAGAATTAAAAATACTTACATTTTATTTATTATTTCGTCACATTGTTTGAGAAAAGCACTATATATGCCTCGGCGGGAACGGGGATCACTCGGCCTTGTAACTCATCCCACGCATCCTGCAATCCCTTACTTCCCAGTATCGAGTATATAACCAAAAATAGAGACGAAATGTCATTTAATTTGTTTGAAAACTATTCTGCCAAATCATTACGGTGAGAACTGCGCTCCGATTGGCCAGCCCGAATTCGCGTCAATTGTTTCACTTTAAATCGACCAGTTTAACTTGAGCTTTGCCGCAATGGATTAATTACCGATAAAATGTGATTCCGTTTGTTTTGTAATTAGATGTTTTGCTGTTTTTCCCACGCCACCGAATGGAACAGCTCCCCAATTGTTAGAGATATTATCTTTATTACAATAAATACAGAATATATTTGGAATGTACGGAGGCACACAGGTCAGTTGTTGGCGCTGTACTGTTTCAGCTTTCTAATTTGTGATTTCAGCGCAAACGAGAATTGATATATAAAAATGGTACCATTTGCCTGATGACTTGCCAGGGATGGATGGCCCTTGTTTCGTCTCTATTTCTGTTTACATACTCGATGCTTCCCAGCCTCTGCAATAATGTACTTATTTCTATGATCACTTAAACGCCCAATGTACATTATAACTCTTTCTTTTCTTTCTTTTTTTTTAATGCTCTCGCGGCTGTCACACTACCCCTCCTACGTAAAGTATCGTATGTCGAAATTGCCAAGTTTACAGGGGAGCGTTTTAAACTTCTGAATTCACTGAAATAAGCATAACACGTGACTTTAGCATTTCTCAGTTTTATTCGGCAAAGCTTGTTACTCGCATAGAGTATTATAAAATTCTAGATATCGGTTAGATGATCACTCTATGTGAGTAGCGAGTGAATTCAGAACTCTCAAATACTCCCCTGTAAACTTGGCAATTTCGACATACGATCCTTTACGTAGGAGGGGTCTAATGAACGAAATCCAATTCTATTATTAAAATGTAACATGTGTACTGCACCTGCATCCTGACTTTCATTCACACCGGAATCGATCCGATCAGGTAGTCCCGAAATCAGATGGGTTACTGAGCGAGAAGATGAACCTGATTCCTACTATATCTTTCTAATTTGTGAGTTAAATCAACTATTTTTCCGATTAGAAATGTCAAAAGTTTCCGGTCGGCCAGTTGTGAATCGTTATGCGCTCGGAAAAGACTCAGTTTCCGAACGGGAGAAGCAATCAAAATCAAGCTGCTGGAATAAATCTCAATTGTTCTGCGTTTTATTGAAATACAGCACTGTAATGTCCTTATTGATAAACCCGATACTAAAAGTATGAAAATACGATTTCAACGTCGCAAAATTTTAAAGTGAATCAAAATTGTGTTGTTCAGATTTATCTGGAAGGCGGCGATGGCATTAAGGCGGACAATGACACGGCACTGCGCTACTTCCGCAAAGCTTCGGAACTCAACAACCCCGTCGGTCAGAGCGGACTCGGCATTATGTACTTGCATGTGAGTAATTATTGTGAGAATAGCTCTGGGCATAATGGTACGGGGCGCTGTGATACGGGAACTATGTGTAATTTACAATTTTTACGTTGCACGCATACTATTTTTAACTAAACTCTACACAAATGGAAGCAGTAACTTAGTTAGAATGTACCAAAAACAAACAATATTGGTTGCACTTGTAATTTTAAGTAATAAAAATACCTACCTTAAAAGTTCATAGAATTATATCTATTGGCCAAGTTTTATTGAAACCAGTTACCGGAAAGAAAAATCGCGGGAAACCGTTTTCATCCCCTAATTTGCCACCCTTACAGATGGAATATTTCATCAAATTTAAATGGGACAATACTAAAATACCCTCTTTCCTACAAAAAAAATCGTTAGAATCGGTTCACAAATGCCGAGTTATCGGCTAACATACATATATAAAAAAAGGAAGAAATTTCTTTTACAAATAAGCACGTACCTTATGTTTGGGTTTTGCTTGTTGCTAAATGTGTTTTTGTTTTTTCTGTACAATAAATGATTAAGTAATAAAATAAAATTCACAGTCAAATTGAGAACCTCCTCATTTTTTTAAGTCGGTTAAACATTAAATATTAATATACAGTATATTAAGTAAATAGAAAATGAATTTAGAAAAAAGATAAAAATAAATGACTACAATTACTTTATACTTTATATAATTTAACCATATAGATTGACAAAAATATAGTGGCTTTTTGTAGTTACAGATTTTACATTACAAATTTTTAGTTTAACTACTAAAATTACGTTTTGAGTTTCTTTTACCTGTTTAAGGTGATAGCTCTATAGCCAAAGCTCAATATATAAATAATAATAATTAGATATCGAGTTCTTAGGTTGTCGCGATTGTTACACATAGGAAATGAAACTATTTTTCCGGATTTAAATCGCGTATATTTGTTTTTTCAAACAAACCGACGTTTCGGGCCTTTTGCAGGTCCCATGGTCACGGTTGACTGAGGTGGTACAGTCTTCAACCAGTTATGTCTAATATTGATGCAAACCACCCTATTTTTTCACTATAGTTACAATATTTCTACAAACAAAATCTAGATATATTTAAAAAAAAAGAGATATCCATAGTAGACCTGTAAGGGATCCAAATAGACTGGTTTGTAATGTAATGTGCCTAGACTGTCCTACTATAAAAATCAATGCAATGATATGTGTGTCCAAATATATAATGCTCTACCAAACGACATTAAAATGTTATGTTGGATGTTTCGCAAAGACACGATTAGGTTCGGTTAGGTTATGTTAAGTTAGGTTTAGAAGAAAAGAACATTTTCCTCTCAAAATTACTTTCGAGGTTATGAAAATTCGAGCAAAAGTTGTTTCTGGAAAATGTCATTTCGAACTACTGACAGGTAACCGGCTTAAAGACAAAAATTATTACACGTCAACATTACAGTGACTGATTTCTTAAATAAACATTGACATATAAATTACTACTGATATTATAATATTATTTCATTGTTTCACTTTTATAATTTTTGCTATTATTTGAATTGACTGTGAATTGAAATAAAATTAGAACTTTAAGGATGTTTTGTGCATGTCTACTGACGTTATTTGTAATCTAATATTAATTAATTGTAATTCAATCAAAACAAGTATAATTTTGCATGCCAAATGTGGAAAAATATCGCTCTATCTCTCTACTGTGTTCCATCTCTTGTTCACTATATTTTAAGCTAATAAATTTTCATTTCATTAAATTAAAATTCATGTCCATGATGAAAAAGACGTTGCGTGTTTTCACCCGCTCGGACCGCCGCCCGACACGTAACGCACAATGTATTTTTCGTTCTTATTACGTGGACATAAAACTTGTTCTGACCAGCTCAATGCTATACCGTGTCACTAAGTGTGGTGCTTTTGTCTCAGGGTCGCGGCGTCCCGAAGGACACGAGTGCCGCGTTCAAGTACTTCACCTTGGCTGCGAACCAGGGCTGGGTGGAGGGGCAGCTCCATCTAGGATTCATGTACTTCGGTGAGTACCTTTGTTATAAGCATGCGTTTACCTTTTTTGACCTTAGAACAGAAGGGGCCAGGACTTACCTTGGAAGGCACCTTGAGTTTTTTATAGTGTCACTGTTTTGTTTTTTGGCTCACAACAATGTCTACACTTTTTGAATTGCGAATGTGATTTGATAAGTGGGTTTTAGCATTAAGAAAGTTTTTGTGGATTATTTGAAATATCACTCGCGTACATCTGGTTGTCTACTCTATTATATTCTTAAGTTCCAGGCTTCTCTTGAAGAATTTTGCCAATGTCAAGTCAGTCATGGGAGTTACACACACTGCCCTTTAGTCTATTTAGGCTTCTGGAACAATACAAACAGCGTGATATACCATGACCATTAAAGATATTTAAATAGATAAATTTTATGTTTTAAGTTTGTTAATACTAATAAAATCAGTTATTAAATTTAAGAGGGGATTTGTTAAAACAAATTACAAAAGATGGAAATTTACGGTACGAGGAATAGAAGGTTGAAGACTATCATAAATAGAACATGTTCTCGTAGGGCAGTTGAAATAGTTATTTGTTATGTTAGGCTGAAAAGTTGTTGTTTGACGGGAGCGCTTATATTGAAAGTTAGGATTCAAAATTAGATTCTTGAGCTTAGCGAGGGTTTCAAGACACGAGACGCAAAACAACTTTGCTGCCGAGCGAAACACACAACTTTTCACCTCACTGCAGTAAGGAAAATGGTAAATAAAAGAAAAACAGTTGAACTATAAAACATCAGTTTTTTTAATTAGAAGAAAAAGTTTATCTTCGGATGCGTTCTGAATTTACACCTCATCAATTTTTATTCTTGCTTGTACTTTTATTTTGTGTGATTATTGAAATTATTTTAGTTCTTCGATGAATTAAAATAATTTAATAAACACAATTAGTTGTCATTATCAATTTAATGTCAACAATAATAAGAATAAAATATACCAACAGATTTATATTACATAAAGTAATGTACGATAAATCGCGTAGATGAACGTGTTGTTATACCTTTTTCATATAAAGAAAAAGTTAGGTGCACCACAGTCCATCATCAAGTCCGAATTTCAAAAACATTTTAACGCTAGTGCTAAAAACGCTTTTGCGCGCAAATTCTAATGAGAAAGAAAGCCTTCCTTCAGTGCTAGTGAGGTGAAAAATATACGATCTGGACCTTCATGCAGGCCACATTCTGTATTTATTTTTATTTAAGTATTTATAAGTATTTATTTATTAGCAATCTTGTAAAGTACATATTAAAATTTTAAACAAAATTATTAAATTCTTTTAAATAATAAAAATTTTAAATCTTAATAATAATTAATTCTAATTCTAATGATAATAATAATTCAAACTCTAATTTTAATTTTAATAATATATCACTCCCAATAAAAAAAAACTTATGTACTAATTATTATTACTACAGTACACCGGCACGCTATGATGGCCGTTTTGACAGATTACAATAGTGAGGTCAAATCTCAATTCATTGTCGAAAAAAATATATTCAAATGCGACTTGCGTCTATAAGATTTATAACTAGTATTGCAAGGGGTAGCTGATTAGAAAGTCTTAATAAAACAAAAATAAAAATATTTACTTAATATATGGTCCATTCGAAGCTGCTTTGTTTTGCATTGAGCTTTGACGCAAGTTTGCCGGAGGTAGAAGTTGTGCTGGACAGCGATCCTGTAAGTGACGAGCGTATATTTGTTTTTCAAACAAACCGACGTTTCGGGCCCTTTACAGGTCCCATCGTCACGGTTGACTGACAGTCAACCGTGATCGTGACGTCAAATCCGGAAAAATAGTTTCATTTCCTATGTGTAACAATCGCGAAAACCTACGAACTCGAACAGATATTAAATTTTACAGTGTCGTTGTAGTTTAATCCTTTTAACCAGAATTGTATGTTCCATGGCTTAGTTGGCATAAGGTCTGCCGCGGTTTGCTAGAAGACGCCGAATCCGGCCGGATCGAAGGAATTTTTTCTAAGTGTTCGATCTTTGTATTAATAATTATAACAAACTAGTGGAGTAATTTCCATATATATAGAAAAAAAGGGGAGAATTGGTATGGGGGCGGGGTTCGTGTCGCCTCGACTTGATCAAAATGATCATATCCAGGTGACACGCCTACAAACATCGCCACAGTGACATGGCGATCGTTGTACATACAAGATCTCTCGTAAAACGTGAAAATGCCAAGTTGTAGCGATACACCTTGTAAAAATTGGAGGGAAAACAAAAATTTTAAAACTAGTGAGATAACATTCCACCGGGTATTTGCATTTCTAGTTACTATTTCTATTATTATTCAATGTTTTCTTTTTGCCTCCATAGAAATTTCTAGACTCAAATATAGTGATGTTCATTTACAATGACTGATGTTTATCGACAATAATTTTTTACTGAAATGTTTGAATTTCTTACTAAGATTTTTGTAATTAAAGTCCCTAAAATATCGAAGCGAAAAGCATTCACGTTAAATTGACTTTTTGATTGACTAAACATTTTATTTCGAGTAACTTGCAAATTAATGTAATCCTATTTGGTCAATAAAGCTTATTATTATTATTATTACTTTAACACAACTCATATTTCGGACAACCGTCTCAATGGCTGAACCAGGATGAAAAAAATACTGAAATATTGTAATATAACTCTTACTCAAGTGACTGTAGGTTTAATTTTGTAGTAAATTTTAAAATTGTGTGACGTCGTTTTCACATTTTAAGCCTTACCCAATCAAAACCTTTAAGTTATGTTAGTAGATAATAGAGCGTAAAGTTTGAACTGCACACAAACTAAAAAGTGGCGACATCGGCACCCGATCTTACATAGCGTCATTACATATCTCCCCTTTTTTCCTACATCTATGGTAATTTCACACAAAAATAATTGAATATCAACTCAATGCAAATTTAATTACAATGAATAGCTACACCTCTAGCCAGGGCTGGTGGCCGTGAAGTTACCTAACTGGGTGACGAAATACTTCCATAGATTTCTCATAGATGGCGCTATGGCTAAAAAGTCTTTGAAAACCAAATCCAAAGATCCGACAAGAAGCACATAGAAAAATTCGTGAGGTCCGCTGGTTCGTTCCTTGGCTTAGTTGGCATAGTGTCTGCCACGGTTTGCTAGAAGACGTCGGTTCGAATCCGGCCGGATCGAAAGAATTTTAATCTTTGTAGTAATAATTATAACAGTCTTGTATGGGTATTAGGTTAGAGCTAAGAGTGAGCGCGCATTAAATATTTACTAAACGTCGTGTGCCCATCGGTGTGTCGCCAGGCGGTATCGGCATCCGGCGCGACTTCAAGCAGGCCAACAAGTACTTCTCGCTGGCGTCGCAGTCGGGCCACGTGCTGGCGCTATACCACCTCGGCCAGATGCACGCGCAGGGGCTCGGCGTGCTGCGCTCCTGCACCACCGCCGTTGAGGTACATTTCTTTTTCAGATTTCAGCTGGTGACCATACTCGTGACAATAACCCATCGAGTATATAACCAGAAATAGAGACGAAATGTCATTTAATTTGTTTGAAAACTATTCTGCCAAATCATTACGGTGACAACTGCGCTCCGATTGGCCAGCCTGAATTCGAAACAATTGACCGGTGTCGTCAATTGTTTCATTTCAAATTGACCAGTTTAACTTGAGCTTTGCTATAATGGACGTAATTGAATAATTGTATGTTTTTCCCACACCCCCGAATGGAACAGCCCCCCATAATTAGAGGTATTATCTTTATTATAATAAATACAGAATATTTTTGGAATATACGGAGACGTACACACAAATCAGTTGTTGGCGCTGTACTATTTCAGCGTTCTAATTTGTGATTTTAGTGCAAACGAGAGTTAATATTTAAAATTGATATAAGGCTGATTTGACTGATGAATTGCCAGTGATGGATGGCCCTTATTTCGTCTCTATTTCTATTTATTTACTCGATGCAATAACCTTTTCATAACTTAAGAGCGATGTAGAATAACATGCCATACAGGCGCTGCCGGAGCGTTGCGATGTGGCATCGCATGTTTATCGGACAAGGTGCTAGGAGTTGAAGCGGGAGGGGAGATGCTGTGCGAAGTAAGCGGCGTTACGTTGCGACATCGCACCGCCCGCGTGGCACTTGTGCGTTGAAATCATAGCGTTGCGACAGACGCAACGCCCGTGTAGTATCGCTTTAAGGCGAGTCACTGGAAGAGGAACAGAGAAAAATGTTTTGCTAGATTAAATGATTTAGGTATTTAATATTAAATAACGCTCTTACAAACAATATACGATACACTTAGGGATATTGTTTAAAAAATGTGCTAATTTGTTACACGATAGGAAGTAACTTAACTATCGTATAAAATCCTTAAAACTGACTAAAGTAAAAATCTAAAACGAATTATTTAAGAATAAAATATCTAACTTCTCGCATAATTTTTATATGTAGATATTTTTCTTTAAATAACAGAGAACCTGCTAAATTTTGGTTTTCAACTGAAGCCCTATAGTTATTAAATTCACATTTACACCTAAACTCGAAAATTGCCTAACGGCTTCGTCAGATCTGTCTCGATTTTTTCCGCCTGTTCTTAATTTAATAATTGTAATTTTTGTGCGCGAAACGCGCGGGCGCCCCCCATACCTCACCTAAAATCTAGGCTCATGGTCAAATACATCGCCTTAATGCATTTTGTTATTCGTGTAGAATACAATTTTTAATTGTAGCACCAACCTTTTCTTTTGTAACTGTCACTGGGTATCATAAAAAAATTAAAAATAAAATCCTCGGGGGTTGTTGATTGTTCGACACTCGATCGAATGTAATGTTAATTCAAGTTCCAACTGGTTTAAAGACACCGCATTAAGGGTCATATTCTAGAACTCTACTCAATGCTCAAGTCAGGATTTGAGTATGGTTTAAAGCACTCGAAATCATACTCAAGTCCCTGCCATTAGGGTCGTATTTCCAGTGCTTGTGTTTCCAGTGCAATCCTGACTTGAGCATTGAGTAGAGTTCTAGAATACGACCCTAAGAGTCGTTACTAACGCAGGTAGAATTCAAATTTTACTAATACTAATACGGTTCATTTTACTTGGGTCGAAGGGCAGAGACACTGGCTTTATTTCAGAATATATATTTTTTTATAAACGTATTTAAAGCCATTTGAAAAATGTATATCGTATACCATACGTGGTCTATTTAGTTCAGTTGATATAAAAAAAAATCATTGGTATATGTATAGTATCTATTTTATACAGCGATTTTTTTGTAAAATTTCGAGGTAACTTTGGTTTTTTTTTCTATCGCGAAAATTTTTAGGAATCTTGTGTTCATTCCGTACAGTAATCAGAGTATATCCTCAATTTTACTATATATTTTTTCAAAAGTGATTGATTCGACATTTTCATAGTTATGCGGAACCAACCAACGCCATTTCGCGTTGTATTGACTCTTAACTTCCATGTTTACCTGTTACGCAGTTTTTTCATATGCAATATGTTGTTCCAGCTGTTTAAAAACGTATGCGAACGTGGGGGCTGGGGAGCCCGATTGATGCTTGCCCATGCAGCATGGCGTGCCAGAGACGCCGATTCCTCTCTATTGCAGTACCTCGCACTGGCTGAGCGGGGGTACGAAGTGGCTCAGAGTAACGCTGCGTTCCTGCTCGATAATGGTAAGTTCATATAGCACTCTTACATGACCACTACACGGTTGATGTCATCGAGCCGCAAACGCCTCACTACTGCGTTACATTTGGCCGAGCTTGCTCCGTGGGTGCAAAGTAGCTCAATGTAACGCTGCATTCCGGCTTAATAATGGTAAGTTATAACACTCTTATATGACCACTGTATGGGTGGTGTTATTGAGACGAGAACTTCTCACTACTGCGGTACCTTGTATAAAAAGGGAATCGAATTGGTTTAGAGTGACGCTGCATTTCTGCTTGATAACGGTAACGTTTACCACTCTTATATTGCCAAAATATAGCTGCTGTCATCGAGACACAATTTCCTTACTACTGCGGTACCTCGCAATTATCAAAAGGTGAAACTAACTGGTTCAGAGCGACGCTGCATTGCTGCTTAATAACGGCAACTTTTCGGCTAGTTTTCTTAAATGATTATTTTATAATTGGTGTCATTGAGGCCTTGCAGTACCTCGCCAAAAGGTCAAACAAAAAGGGTTACGATATGTTGTGCAAGACATTACTGCGTGTCGGCTTAGTAATATCACAGATCTTTAAGAGATAAGTTTAAGGAAATTAACTTTCTTACACTAGCCTCACAGTACATTCATGAAAAGAGGAATATAGAGGAATATTTTTCATAATTTCTTTATGAAAAATAGTGACAGACATAACATTAATACGAGAAATAAAAATAAACTACCTGTTCTTGATAGTGGTCTTCACAAAGTCAAAAAATCATTTAAGGGGCAATGTATACGCTTCTATAACAAGATTCCGGTTGATATACAAAATTTGCCTTTCACGAGGTTTAAAACTATAGTGAAACAAAAACTTTATACTAAAGGGTATTATACAACTTCTGCGTACTTGGATGACAAAAATCCGTGGTAGTAACCCGTTTAGCTCATGGAGGTAGTCTCGATCTCTGTTTCAAATAAAAAAAATATATATATTGTAAATGTTGAATGTGTACAAATGTTATTTACAAAGAACAACCGCTAGAGTTTCTTGCTCATTCTTCTCAGGGAAATTTGCCTTACGAATGAGAGGTAGAGTTTAACCATTGTGACGATTTCAAGTGTAATAATGTTTACCTATGAAAAAAAGATTATTTTGAATTTGACTTAGATTACTGTTAATATTAACTTATAGCACTTTTATATGACCACTATATAATCAATAACCTGTAGCAGTACTTCGCACTGGCCGAAAAGGGTTATGATGTGTGATATAAATAATTACTGCGTGTCTGCTTGGTAATAACTTATAGCACTAAAAGCCTTAAGTAAAAACTTACAAAACAAATTATATTTGTTGAGAGCTGGAGCCTAAAGTAAAATAAAATATATATATAAATAATAATAAAACTTTTATTTTAGGTCTCCCAACTCAGATTACATCATTATATTCATAAGTAGGTACTAAGAATTTTATACAGATAAGACACGCGCATGTGAGTATAGTATCCAGTATTACTAAATGGAAATATCAATTCGTGTTTTTGTTATTTCTCCATGCATGCAAAACGCTTCCTACTGTGAGGTTTATAATACGATCTTACAGTGCTGTTTTACAACCACTATAAAGCCATTTAAGAGTATAAGAGCTTTGAAATCAGTCTCTAAATCACTTGTGGCTGGTTTACACAATATTAATATTTCTGTAGAGCGTTTTTATATAATTGTAAAAGGCGAGTGTTATTTTAATGAATTTCAGTACAACTGATCACTTCCACGATGGTTTGACCAGTCTCCTAACTATTTGGACGGCACGGACAGGGCTTCACGTATGTGTATGTCCAGGGGAGGTGCAGCTGTTCGACGAGGCGGAGCGGTGGGCTCGCGCGTTGCAGCTGTGGGGCCGCGCCGCCGCGCAGGGCTGCAGCGCCGCCAGGGTCAAGCTGGGCGACTACCACTACTACGGCCTGGGCACTGCGCAGGATCTGGAGGCCGCGGCGCACCACTACAGGTACCATTTACTTATTTAATTTTTTTTTGCTATTATGACATACAATTTTTTTTTTGTGAAAACACTCCACTAGTTTTTATTATTAACCGACTTCAAAAAAAAGGAGGACGTTCCCAATTCGACTGTATTCTTTTATAAAACATTTTTAGTGGAAAGTGGGTACCTCTGCATTGGTCCCATTTAAATTTTAAGAATATATTCCTCCTATAAGGGTGGCAAACTAGGGGATGAATCCGGTTTCGCGCACTTTCCGTTAACCGATTGCAATAAAACTTGGCGATACATGTAATTCCAATAAAAAAACCGATAAGCAATCTTTTGAGGTTGCATTTTTTTATTAAAACAAAGATTGTACACTCATGGTATTAAATAAAATAAATATTTGGACTGCCAGCTTATATTAAAATCGAATACTTCTCCCAACAGGATAGCATCGGAGCAGCTGCATAACGCGCAAGCCACGTTCAACCTCGGCTACATGCACGAGCGAGGACTCGGCCTCGCACAAGACCTGCACTTGGCCAAGCGCTGCTACGACTTGGCAGCTGACACATCGCCCGACGCGAGATTGCCCGCCGCCCTTGCGCTAGCCAAGTTGAATGCTGCTACCGCCCTCTCCCAGCTATATGACGTGAGTATTGTATCTATACAGCTCACAGCCGGTGTCTTGGCTATGAACTTAAAAGATTTGTTATAATTATTAATACAAAGATCGAACACTAAGAAAAATTTTTCTATGACATCTCCGTCGCACAAGATCCGACCATTGTGTTTATTTATTTATTTATTCAGAAAACCAACGGCGTTACAAAAAAAACTATTTTTACATTGTATATATAGGCTAAAAGTAAGGCTAATTACAGGTTTCCCTTGTTTTAATCTTTGTTGTTGTTGTTTTAATCTGTGTTGGTTGTTTTAATCTTAGAATCGATGTAATTAGTTTCTTCTAGTCCCACACACACAAGTGGGACGAAATCGTGGACTAGGCGACTAGGACTAGGGTCCCACTGCTATCACTGTGAAAATACGCATTAAAATGTAAATAAATCTCTCAGTCCATATTACAGAGTCCGCTGGCTATGGTATTTCTCTCCGGAGAATCAACTCTACTCTCCAACTGGGACCTATATCTCATCACGGCACTCCTCGGCGCTTTGGGCCTGGTGGTCTACATTCGGCGGCCTGAAAGACCGATCCGACCCAATCCTGCAGAGAACTAATTTATTTATAAATATTTATGTGAATAAATAACGAGGACTTTTGTTTGATCAGTGTTTGTACAGAGAGAAAGGTTTTTGAATTTCCTGGTTTGGCTCCGCACGCGTATCAACAGCACGCGTATGAAACGCACGTGTATAAAACGGATGCGTATCAAACGCACGCGTATCAACCGCACGCGTATCGACCGCACGGGTATTGACCGCGGCATGCGTATCAACGTTTTAAGATCAGTCAATGAAGCATAGGTAGATAGAAGAAGAAGAAGAAGATATGCATGCGGAGCATGGTTACCTCCAAAAAATCAGTAATCGATTGATCGATTTTGTACTAATATTACTATTATTTAGAAAATGTTTATTGTGTTAGTTTTGTTATAATTATTTCCCTTTATGACATTATAATATAAGAAATATTGTAATATCATAAACACTCGGAATAATTTGGAAAAAATGTTCTTAAAGTTATTTTATTTAAAGTTTATTTGTTTTTTTTACGCGTACATGAAGTTCTGTTATCGGGCTACATTTAAGGCGAGATTACTTACAGTAATGTAGTTCAATCGTTATATAAATCCAAATTATACATGAAACTCGCACCTACGGTGAAACAGCTTTCACTGCAAAAAAAACATGAAAACAACTCATGAAAATAACTTATGAATGAAATTTATATACAAAAACAAAGACACAGTAATACATATTATATATTACAGATAGCTTATTATAGTATAACATTTTATTATAACATACATAAACTTTCAAAGTACTCAGTAACCCTAAAACACAAAATAACTAAGTTTTAACTTGTTTTCTGTAAATTTTTGCAAATATAAATCAAGCCGCTGTTCCACTGGTGGTGCGATGTATATTCTTCTAGGCTCAAACGTTAACCGCACGAGTCAAAAAATAAATAAAAATCTAAAACGATACGAACGTCGTGTATCAAAATATTTACATTAAACAAACATAATAAAATTCTTACCCTCGGTAAAAGTTACTATATGAATTTTTAAACATTATTTCATGTACAATTTTCAACCTTATACCAAACTTATAATAAGAATGAGGAATGTTAAAAGCTCACGAAGTCAAAATATCAAGCAAGTTTCACTTGCTTTATGACGGTTCAACATACACTAGTTACATCAACCAGCCAAGATTATGACCAATTGTAAATAGAGCCCGCTATAACAGCACGGTGCAAATGTTAACAGTAACTGGTTGTTGCATTGACAATATTTTGATCCAATAGAAGGTGAGCCGCGACAATGACGACTGTTTAGATAAGTTAGTAAATTAGAATGGGTGTAATTTTACAACACCATATGGAAGAGTGAGACGGTTAGTTGTAAGTCGTTTCGACTGAGATGTAAAAAGGCCCATCAAAAATGTTATTTATTTAATTCGCACCATCGGTGTAATAAGGTTATATCTTCAAAATGACGACTTTTCAGAAAAGAATAAGTTTATATTATTTTTATGACATGCATGTGATAAAAGCTCTTTTGGCGTATGAGCACATGTGGTTTTATTACACCAAGGGTACGAAATGTTGGTCGTTTTGAAGCTTATAAAATAGCGCCGGGACATTGTAACTAATACCAGATGGCGTTTATAGCTGGGGCACTTACCTTGTTGAATTTGTTACTACACAGCCTCTTTCTAAACATTACAATTCGTAAAAACTTGTCACCACAAAGCGGTGGTGGAGTTAACGATCAATTGGTTTTGGATACTAGAATCGACAAAGTCGCCCCAGTCCATAATCAACTTGAGTAGTGTGAAAGAGTGAGAAAAATATATGTAGTTCATATACCTCTTTTAATTTCACGTTAATAATGTTCTTTTCTTATGTAACTGTCCAGCTGTTTAACTTTATGGTGACTTAGTTAAATCAGATTTGTAAATAAATATATCTTAAATAAACATTTTGTAAACTTCACTTTGATTTTTTTTTTCCATAAAATAAAATTTACGTTAAGGTAAAGCATATTATTTTAATTATTTAATACAAAGATCGAACACTCAGAAAAAATTCCTTCGATCCGGTCGGATTCGAACCGACGTGTTCTTGCATACCGTGTCAGACGCTATACCAACTAAGCCACGGAACGAACCCACGGACCTCACGAATTTTTCTATGTGCTTGCGTCGTATCTTTGTACTTGGTCTTTCAACGACTTTTTAGTCGTAGCGCCATCTATGAGAAATCTATGACAGATTTATCACCCAGTTAGTACCTTTACAGCTACCAGTCCTGGCGAGAGATGTCGCTATTCACTGTATTAATTAAATTACATATTATTTTGTTAAATTTAACAATATATTGACCCGGTAGACGCTTACACAATCAAAAATTTTTTCGCTTCCTATTTGTAGAAATAACCTCAGTCACCACTGTCTACTGTATCACATGTTTATTTTTTTTTATGATACCCCGTGACGGGACGAAAAAATCGCCTAGTTTAAAGCGACACTCTTGTCCACAACAGTTGCAGCGCCACTCAGACTGAAATCGCAAAGATCTGAGGGGCACCCCCTCTAGACATAGTTGACAAGCTCCGTGTGCCTGTAATTTCACCAGCACACTTAGGCTCAATTACATTGCCGTGGAACGGAATGGAAGGGAAGCGTCAATGTCGCGAGTAGGCGCGCGGTGGCTGGGATGTTCGAGCATTTGCGAGCTTTCTCGTGACTACGCCTTCAGCCAATAGTATTTCGTGGACTTTTGACGTCACACTGCAATTTCGTTCCAATAATTCGTTTCCATTCCGTTCCGCTGCAATGTAAATTGAGCCTTAGGACGCTCCCTCACTAAGAACATTCGCCTGTAATGTAACATTCAAGATTCGTTTGCGAGCATTACATTCAAACTACCTCCCTCACCGGCGAGTATTCGACTGTAAAGATTCGTTTTTGAGCATTACATTTCAAACTACCTCATTCACCGGCGAGCATTCGCCTGTAATGTAACATCCAAGACTCGATTAGGCTGCGATTCCACCAGAGATGTGCGAGGTAGCAACGCGTGCGTGCGAGTGCCTCTAAGAGCCCGCGAGAGCCAGGAGTGCCCGCGAATACCAATACCTTTGGTGCCAGCGAGTGCCTTTGATGACTTTGACTCAAAGGCACTGGCTGGAACTCAAAGGCACTCGCAGGCACCTAACTTAAGTAAAGACTTGAAAACATTTCCATTATATCTGGTGGAGTCGCAGGCTTACAACCAGATTTTTTTTTATACAAATGTAAGTGCGCATTTGACCTCCATCTTACCTGATTATCCTTCGAAACCAGAACTCAGTAATGCTCACGTTACTGCTTGGCGGCAATAATAGGTAAGGTGGCAATACGCCCTGGACGAACGCTTTCACTCTCAACAAGAGGCTCTACTGCTACTGAGGTATAGTCGGTCCGCGGCTCTAAAGTTCTGGGTGTTATACTGTCCACGCTGGAATTCCTCAATCTTGAAAACCATTGCAAGTTGTTTCTTGGTTCCTTTTATTATATTTCTTATAAGAGTCGCTGGATTTCATACTTATAGGTTTTAGTTGATTTCAGTAAATAAGTTGTCACAGAAATTCATAGATTTTATTTTCTAAGAAACATTTTAAATGATAACACTAGCCTGAAAGACAGTGCAATACTGTCTTTCAGCCTGTTGTACTTCTACCATGGCTTTAGTCGCAATGCAGTCGTTACAAACGGTATATAGTTCAAAATTTGTATGGCGACGTAACTGTTTCTATGGCCATTAGAAAATCGGTACAATTAATCGTACAAAATTTTAAATATTTGACGCGTTCACTACCGCCTAACATAAGGGAGTCGCCACACTTATTAGTACGGAATCGATCAGTATTAGTATAATATTAGGGGTTAAAGTACGAAATTGCCGTTTTATTGCAATAGGTTCTTTGAATTTTCATAGAATCTTCATGGTTTGAGGTTTTCGAATGAAACTTTTTTCAAATGGTTTCTGTGATTTTTTTTTAAATTTGAAACATTTGAATATCGACTTTCAATTGTTTTTGTTATTCAATTTAGACAAGAAAGATGGATACTGCGAAAATTCGAGTGATTTTTGAATACGAGTTTCGACGCGGAACTAACGCGGCAGAAACAGCCCGCAATATCAATGCTGCGTTTGGAGAGGGGTCTACTAATGAACGCACCGTGCGATTTTGGTTTAAACGCTTTCGTGATGGAAATTTCGACTTAAAGAACGAGTCACGAGGAAGACCGCCCACACAGGTGAATAACGATGTAAGAGAGATAGTGGAAGCCGATCCTAGTCAAACTACCCAGGAATTAGCGGCATGGTTTAACGTTACCTTACCCACAATATTGACTCACTTGCGTCAAATCAATAAAATAAAAAAAATACGAAAAATGGGTGCCTCATGATTTGACTGATCTGCAGAAAGAAACGCGTGTTGAAACTTGTGTTGCCTTGTTGAACCGGTACAGAAATGAAGGAATATTGGATCGAATTGTAACATGTGATGAAAAGTGGATTCTTTATGATAACCGGAAAAGAAAAATGCAATGGCTGACCCCAGGTCAAATGCCACAACAGTGTCCTAAAGCAAAACTTACCAATAAAAAGGTAATGGTAACTGTTTGGTGGTCTCAGCATGGTGTTATTCACTATAGTTTTCTCCGATCTGGTCAAGCAACAACGGCAGATGTCTATTGTGCCGAACTCCGAACCATGTTGACAAAACTAGCAGTAAAACAGCCCCGACTCATGAATCGATCTTCACCATTATTGCTCCACGACAACGCGAGACCTCACACAGCACGAGAAACCATTTTGACCCTTCAGGAACTGCAGTTAGAAACCATTCGTCATCCTCCGTATTCACCAGACCTTGCTCCAACGGACTACCATTTTTTTCGTGATTTGGACAATTATCTACGTGACAAGAAGTTTTCTTCCCAGGAGGCAGTACAAAATGCTTTCACTCAGTTTGTGCAGTCTAGATCGTCGGAGTTCTATCGCAAAGGCATTAATAACCTTCCCATTAGATGGCAGCAATGTATAGATAATAATGGCAACTATTTTGATTAAATAAATTTGTTAAAAATTTAAAAAATAAACAATTTAGATTTTCAGTACAAATCGGCAATTTCATACTTTAACCCCTATTATAATGATCAGGCAAAGTTTTATGTCCATGCAATAAGAGCAAAAAGACGTTGACTATCGATTATTAATACAAAGATCGAACACATAGAAAAATTTCTTCGACCCGGTG